TATAACTAGTAGGTCCACTCTCTGCCGACCCCTTTGATCTTTGCGGTCCCGATCACGTGGTTTTCCGTCATGCACCTGGGCAGGATCCAGCGACGTGGGTGTGTGTGTGTGCGTGCGTGCGTGCGTGCGTGCGTGCGTGTGTGTGTATACGTACTCATCAAAGCCACACTACCACGTACAACTTTTCTCTTATTGGTCTGCCCAGAGCAATGTCGGATGCGCAGAAGGGATCGAAAACGAAACAAATGACGGAGTGGACCTACTACACGGGAAAAAATAATTTTGCTGTGATAGCAAAATCGCCGTTGCTACTGCATATTCGTAGTAATAGCAATAAAATTTAGTTGATAGAACTAATTTTACGAATTATTCATCATTATAGCAAAATCTATTTTCTTGCGAGAATAGAACAAATTCGCTGAGTGTATTTGTAATTAAAATCACATTAATTTGCTACTGAAGCAAAATAATATATTCTTAGCAAATACCTACATTTGCTGTCACAACGAAATCCCGATACGCCTGATTCCCTCCTGAATAGATAGCACTAGTACCACATTACTGCCGCGACGTGGCGACCGCGCATCTTTCTCGTAAGTAAAAATCGTCCCGTATTAGTATAAAAGGGGAGCCGATATGATGCGAGAGCGAGTTGTCTGGATCATGGATAAACCTCAATAACCTGAATATACTTTTGATGACTATGTGATTTAACACAATTTAACAATTAGTTACAAAGTGAATTTTTCAATAGGAAGCCTATTGATACCCCACCCTATATTAAAAACTGTAAGGAGCAACAAAGGGCAAGTCATGAGGTTTTGATAAGGAAAACCTGATCAGGCAATTTTACTTCTCGACGTTACATTTACGGTCAGGGCCCTGTCAGGGCTGCCTGAACCCTACTAAAATTTCTGCTCGGGATAATTTGTTAATCCAGCAAATTGCGATTAGTATTTGTAACAAATCTTCTTGCTATCCATATAGTAACGAACAGATTTTGCTACAACAGCATAAAATCTGCTGTGTCAGCAAATTATTTTTCTCCGTGTAGGTATACCAGAGTATAACTAGTATGCCAACTCTCTGTCGGTCCTTTGATCTCTTCGGTTTCGATCAAGTCCTACACAGCACAGAAAGATTGCAGGAAAATTGCAGAAATGTTACATTGCAAGATTGCAATATTGCAGCAACGTTGCGCAACATTGCTGCAACGCTTCTGGAGGATTGTAACAACGTTGAAATATCCGCCCTCAGAGAGATTGCAGTGCAACATTATAGCAATGTTGCAGTGCAATATTTTTGGAATAATTCCCACACAGCACAGAAAGATTGCAGGAAGATTGCAGAAATGTTACATTGCAAGATTGCAATATTGCAGCAATGTTGCGCAACATTGCTGCAACGTTTCTGGAGGATAGCAGCAACGTTGAAATGTCCGCCCTCAGAGAGATTGCAGTGCGACATTATAGCAATGTTGCAGTGCAATATTTTTGGAATAATTTGTTGTTGTTGTATATAAGCGGAGAATTTACTAATTACATATGCATCCGGGCCTTTTTCAATACACACCAAGCTATTGCGAAGCAACCTAAGGAGATTATGTCGCTTCGCAATAGATGGAGATTGCGAGCAACACTGCACTGATCAAGTACTTAATAATTCGCGCATTATTGGTATCAACGAAAATAACATTATAAAATTCTCGTAATTAGAAAAAAAATTTTAATAGAAAATATAGTATTTTCATTATTTTTGAAACATTGCTGCAATATTGCTATCGAAAGTTTGCAATTTTATATCCCTGCAATGTCTCTGCAAGATTGCCACGTTTCTGCAATGTAACTGCAACCATCTGTGCTGTATGGGTGGTAGTGTGACAGTGTGAAAGGATTTCACACACCGAAGTAATGGCGGAATACCACGTGATCAAAACTAAAAAAATCAAAGGACCGACAGAGAGTGGGCATACTACCCATACAGCACTAAAGCTTTCAGAAACATTTCAGAAAACATTGTTGCAATGTTGCAATGTTTCTGAAATGTTTCTGAAAGCTTCGGTGTTGTATGGGTAGTTTATACTATGGTTGTACTACGCTCATTCGATGTGTTCTATCTTTAGCTGCGCATTCAACTATGACAATACGTTAACATTATGCTAGCTATATTTAAATCACTCATACATCGAATTGATATTCGCTAGCGGAGAGCTTGCGTCAGTTGCTGGCATTTTATTTCCATACTTTGCTTAAGAATGCTGGTTGCCTGGGTAGGGCGCCTTTGGAGAACGCGTGCGCGCGCAGATATGACATGGCGTGAAAACGCGCCGGACGGATCGCGCGCGTTCTATTTCGCAAAAATTTCGCTGGAAACGGAAGGAGAATCGCGCGATGAGAGATTGCTTCCCGGGCCGAATTCGCGCGCTTCGATAACTTCCTTTCTCTCTCCCTGCTTTTTCCCTCTTCGCGGTGACGTAACGTCTAATGAGCTCGTGCCATTGTGACCTTTCGGTCCCGGTCGTTTCGCAGAAATCCCGCTGGGAACGGAAGAGAATTTCGCAATGCGAGATTACTTCCCCGCCGAATTCGAACGTTGTAAAATCGCGCTTCGATAACTTCCTCTTTCTCCGCTTGCCTTTTTCTCCTGTTCGCGGTGACGCAACGTCTAATAACGAGTTCGTGCCGCAGCGGGCTTTCTTCTCGGCCGTTTCGCCCGCGGAAGTCTGCGGGAGGAAGTCGGCTTACTTCCCGGCGCGTCCTCCCGTCTTCCCATCGGACGCGCGTCGTTAAAGCCCGAGCATGGAAAGTCGATTTGGGTCGACGACTCGGCGAACGGGACCGTCGAATTAATAAACACGCGAGAGTATAGAATGCGTCCTCTCCCTCTCATTCTTTCTCTCTCTCTCTCTCATCTCCCGCGTCTTTATCGCGCGTCTCGATGCACGATGGGCTTCTTTTCTTCGCGATCTTTCTCCTTTTTCCCCTCTTTTTCCTCTCCTTTTTACCGTCGCGTACAGCCGAATGCTTGAACGATGACGCCGCTACTTTCTCCCTCGTAACTATTTCCCGCGACCGATGCGCCAATGGTACACGCGGAATGTTAAACCCTCCTATCGGTTCTGAATCGGCGAGTTAGGCTGAAGGCAGACAACCATCCGTAAGCGCTTACGGACTTCCGTAAGCCGTAAACTTACGGTAAGGCAGAGAAAAACTTAAGCCGTAAGCGCTTACGGATGGTTGTCTGCCATCAGCCTAACGCATTAGCCGCTGTTAGAGATAGGATCACGTTTAAGTATAATGTGTATGATACGCGTGAATCCCTCGATTCGATATCCGGATATCGCTAAAGTGGAGTGACACTTGTAAGAATGACGAATGCAATCAAACACGAGCGATAGTGAGAACAATAGAGCGCATCCAATGTACAACTCGAGCCTTTTTACGAGTATTGCGAAACGGTAGCAATGTCCAAAGTCTGGTTCTACCAACGTCGCTTACCTGTAAGATCAATTCCTTTGTCTCTTTGCAACTGTTCCCTCATGCCCGCTTCTACCAACGCAGCTTAACCCTAGAACCCGACACATGGGTAAAATTTACCCAGACCAACTTTTCGAACGTTACCGCTCTGAAAATATGAGGAGTTGGCAGTACTATACTAGGGCCAAAATTAGTTAACTAATTCCTTTGTTGGAAGGCATAACTCAGCTGTTTTCTCACCTGACCGTTTTCGACAGGGAAGACAGCAAAATTTCGTTCGGGTAAATTTTACCCATGTGTAGGGTTTACGTTGGAAAATTCATTTTTAATTTTTTCTTGTTTGTAATAAGATTTATCTTTCTTTCTAGTTTTTATTGAAAACTTGGTTGCTGATGTATGATAAATGTGCTTTAGAGGTTATAATTGTATCAAATAAGTATATTTATTATATACATATAACATATATTATGCAATAGAAGTGAAATTATTTATAAATAACAAATAATACATAATAATACATTTTCTTATAATAAAATAATTTTGAAAGGGAAAATAGAGTTATTAAGTAAATAAACCCATAAAAAATCCCATCCATATCTTATTCGAACAGACCTATTTTCCTTTTGTAAAAAATATAGTTTTTTTAATAACCAGCGATCTGCTCCTAGATTTTCTCAAAGAATTAACCGTCTTCTTTAAAATCGCGTTTGCCTCATTGTTTTATCTGTTATAGTTAAAAAGTTATTAATTTTTTAGAGAAAAGCGAATTTTGAAGAAACATGTGTTTTGTTTTTTTATTATAATTTTCTTCAACTTTATTTAACCGCAAAACTGTTAGCATAATTATCTTCCTCGATGTTTTCTACACCGATTATAAAAAAAACATTGAATTTTGACCATTTTTCTGAGAGTTATTAGCAAATGAAAATGCGCTGGGTAAAATTTACCCATGTGTAGAGTTTACGTAACTTTTTGACGTGTCGGGTTCTAGGGTTAAGTTTAATCTCGGTTCAACAATCAATTTAGATCTGTTTCTAAATAGTTTGAAAAATTTTTTCAACCTTTCAAATTCAATTACAAATCTTTTTTCACGACGATTACACGATCTAACAATCAATTTTCCACTGAACAGATTTCACCCCAAGGGCAATAAATTCATGGTGCAACGAGCAGATAACGCCTATTGATTTGGCAGAAATTCCGCTGACTCCTATTAGAAGCCAGTCTCATAATAGGGGACTTTACCTGGCGCTACCGCGTCTCTATATTTACAAGACTTATAAGCTCCAACGATTTTCTGATACCGATCGCCTCGCGCTCGGTCATTGCACGCTTCTAGAAGTACACACGTGTCTAGACACGCACATGTCTAATCTATTTAGTTCAAACGTTGATAATACAAAAATCGCGTTAACGTAAGTGGAATGTAACAGGTGTAAACCGAAGGATTGTCGATTATCGCGTGTACGTATATCTAATCTATATCTATTCGAGACAGATAAAAGACAACAAAGCCATATATATTGGGAATCTCGCGGCGATTAATTTCCGAAAGGTTTCTCACTGCAAGTAGGAAGACGAGAGAAGATGCGGGGTCCACTTGTTTACGCTTTCGTCGCGCTGTGCTTTGTTTCCGGCAGCATCGGTAAGATCGTCGAGACAATCATCGATGTAGTAACTTTTGTCGTACGGTTTTATTCATCGCGATAGCGCAGTGTAAACACAGGAATGGCAAGGTAAACGAACGTTGTGTCAATGATGGATTTCGTAACAGTTGAGACCCCATATTCGAAAGTGGATTTACTGGCAGATATTTAAACGCTATTAGACGCACCAATTGTGCACAGAGCTACATTCCGGGTTTGTAAAAATTCAGACGGTTATCAAAATTTTACACGCAGTGCCTGAATAGGAATAATGAAAAAAAAAACGGAAATATCTCGTCATATATTAATTCTAAATCATCAGATCTTCAGAGATCTGACACTTTCGTCGAATATCCAATGTTATTATCTATTGAGATCTAATTATGTTCTCTTAGGACATTTAATTATAGAATTAGTTAGATCTCAATAAACGTCGAACATTCAAGGTAAGTGTCTGAGGATCTGACGATTTTTGGAATTGAATCTCATGAGATATAATTAAATATGACATGTACTTATTACATTTACGTTTGTCTATATAGAGCTAAGTCCCCTATTATGAGATAAGATCCTAAAAAGAGATAGCAGGGATTTCTGTTAAATTAATAGGCATCATCAGTTGATTTCACCATGAATTTATTACCCTTGGAGCGAATTCTCCTTACTGAAAAATTCATCGTTAGATTGTAGAATATTAATCGTTGCGAAAAAAGATTTGTGATTGAATTTGAGTGTTGAAAATCTGCTATCCCATATTAGAAACCTATCTCATAGTAGAGGACGTTCCTCTATGTGTATGTACATTTCTTCTTACGACTCTCCGTAAATAAAAATATAATAGCGTAAAGTCCAGTGATCTTGATGAGATAAAGAATCGATCGGGCTTGGTCAGTGTCGATGACGGGCTTGCATTGATATGAGAGATCAATGCCTCGATCTTGAGATAATTAGAACATATTAGATAAACTGTGTGTTTCCCCAACTCATTGTTATCTTCTTCATATATTCATTTGTACAATATTTGTTTGTATATGTTCAACGGGTGACGTGTGCCGTTTACGTAACATTCTCCTCTCTTATCTCCTGGAACGCAGTTAAAGTTTAAACGCTGCGCGTCCGTGCGCGTTTTTACGCGCCGCAAGTTTGCCGAATTTTCAATGCAAGTAAACGACAAAGTACTCGACCGTTGCACTCCTAGCTTTTACCATAGCAACGCGGTTACGTTTACTCTGCGATTTCTTTTAAGACTTCGCAAATTTACCTAGGCCTTCGCTTGGCAAACACGCGCCGTTTCAGCTACCCGTCTTCGCGTCGCTCACTTTCGAATCATTGTTAATAGTTGAGACGCTTCGTCTTGAAGCTCGGTGCAGCGGAGATAATGTAATTTCCAATCTTAATATGTTGCAAATATATTACGCTATTTATTTAAACCGCAGAAAACAAACTCTTTCACATTGGTGTCGATTTTTCTGAGATGACTTGCCAGTATAGACTATTGTATCCTTCACTTGTTAGATCTTTTTCTGAATCTAAATAAAGAAATATAAAAAAAGGAAGGAATATTCTGTTATACGACAGTAGGGATTAAAGTATATTTAAAATTTAACAACGATGTCGCGTCGTGCTGATGTTACGATTCTATATGTTTTTGTTAATAATGGAAAATTTTCCGACAAAAGGGAGAAAGGGATTCGGTCCTGGGGAACAAGAATGGGCGCACGTTGAAGTACGTCCCGAGGCGTACATGTTCTGGTGGCTCTATTACACCACGGAAAACGTTAGCTCATATTACGATAGGCCGTTAGTCATCTGGTTACAAGGTGGACCGGGCGGATCTTCGACGAGTTATGGGAATTTCGAGGAACTAGGGCCGCTCGATGTGAATCTGAATCCAAGGAATTACACTTGGGTAAGAAATTACGCAGAGGTAAAAGTTCTTTAGGATATAATAACGTTCGGCTCTGGTTGATAAATATTTTGTTGTTGAGACGATAAAGATATTTCGGGCAGTTGTGTTATTGTTAATGTAACTGGAAAAAGAGAGAAAGAGGGACAGAGCAATTCTTCGACTGAAAAAATATGGCAAATGTAGAATAAGACATTGTTTAAATTTATACATACAACATTTACTCGACCGACCCTGTAGATTTATAATTCAGTGGATGTTGACGTGTAATTCATTTACAGGTAAAGGACTACAATGTTCTCTTCATCGATAATCCTGTCGGTACCGGCTTCAGTTACGTCAACTCCGATTCGGCATACACGAGAACAAACGCAGAGATCGCGAAGGACCTTTTAGAATGCATGCGAGGATTCTACAAGAAATTGCCGGAATTCGAGAAAGTTGCGACGTATATCACGACTGAATCGTACGGCGGGAAAATGGGCGCGGAATTTGCATTACTCTGGGACAAAGTAAGGAAATACAAGAACACTAATTTTTTTTAAAAGTAATAAAACGAAAGAATTTGATTTTATGTAAATTGACGACACAAAAATTTCAATGAGCGCGACAAGAGGATTTTTATCGATCACAAGATTCGTTCCTTTAAAATCAGCCAGTTTCCTCTCGCGACGTATCTTTGTACACACAGAAAAATATTATTGTACAGTCAAGAAAAGTAATTACTCGGTTTATTTTATTCCGTTTAAGTAATAGTTTGCTTCAACAAAGAATATTTTCTTAATAATAGTTTTAAGATATACTTGTTACTAGTCTTAGAAAAGCTTGCCATCTTATACTCGAAGAAAGAATTTAGTCTACTTTGAAGAAAATTATAAAACTTATTGAAGAATTCCGTATGCTTCTTTTAATAAAATCAGAAGAAACAAAATTGTTTTGCTTCAAATAATTCTTATATGTATTCTTGTTTCAAGTACTAAACTACTAAGAACCAGAATATGTTTTGAGTAAATATAACACTTGCGACGACATTATGATAGATTTGCGGATATATAAACTTATCAAATACCTAGAACAAATAACATTTACTTGCAGGTAGTATATATTTTTCTGTGTGTATTATCAAAAGCGACGGAAGCATTTATGATAATGACGACAAGGAAACCATTCTGTACGTGTGCAGTAAATCCATAATATTTATACGTAATCTTTGAGAAAATTGCAGATAATATCTAAATCGTGGCGATAATGGCATCGTCGTGATTTAGCGAAGCGCGATAAAATAATCTTACATAAGGGATTGTGAATTGAAATTCATGTGTCTAACAATAAGTAGTGTGATAATAATGTTATGCTAAGTAACGTTCCGCAGGCTCAGAAAGATGGCACCATCAAAAGTAACTTAAAGGGAGTCGCGCTCGGGGACGCTTGGATCTCTCCTATCGACTCCGTAATGACATGGGCACCATTCCTGCTGAGCACGGTAAACTTTCCATTATTAATCGCCAACACCTGCACGAGATCGCAGTATTTATCAGCACAGTAAATCCTCATCTTAATTATCTGTCACGTCAGATTACATTAAAAAAGAGCAATTGCGATAAATATCATCAAGAGAGAAAGACGTTCGATTTTATATAAATTGATAATATGAAAATTTTAATAAGCGCGACAAGAGGATTCTTATTAATCGTACGATTTGTTAAAATCAGCAGTTTCCTTTCGCGACGTATCTTTGTATTATCGAAAACGACAGAAACATTTTAGATAACGACGACAACCCGGAAAAAATATAAATATCTGATTATACATGTATCAATCATGTAATATCTAATTATATCCAAGTCTAAAGTCATCTTCAGCGATCTGATGCTTTTACCGGATATTCAATGCTATTATCTACGAGTATTGAGATCTAATTGTGTTTTCCTAGGACATTTAATTATAGATTTAGTTAGATCTCGATAGACAACGTCGAACGTTCAAAGAAAGTGTCAAATCTCTGAGAATCTGATGATTTCTAGAATTTGATCTTATAAGATATAATTAGACATTACATACAGAATTGAGACATATGTATATAATGAGATTTTTTTCCACTTTTTCCCCGGGAAGGGAAAACATTCTGTATTGCGTGCAAGGTAGTCAGATCTCGAGGCCCAATAATATTAGATTCCTTCGTCAAACGGGATTTCCCGTTTAATTACTGCACAGCATTTTTATGAAACTTTTCGAAGACTGTCGCGTGCTTCGCAGGGTATGGTTGACACGCAAGGTTTCGAAAAGATTAACGCTGCCGCGGAAAGAACGAAGAAACTCGTCGAGCTTGGCAAGTGGACACAAGCGACTACAGCGTGGTCTGAGACACAACAGGTCGTTTTACGGAACACTTACAATATTGACTTTTATAATATTATTACAAAACGAAATCCTGGCTCGTATCTGCACTCGTCGACGCAGGATGCAGCGTTCTTAGCCGAAGGTATACAAGTGAACAGTAACGTATTATCATATTATTTTATAAAATTACATTGAGGAAGTTTGATTCCATGCTTGCAATATTAATATAAAAATACAGAGGAGACGTGCAACATTTTACAAGATTTCCATTATCAAAACACCATAATTATTATGAATTACCGTGCATATCTTTTCTTTGTACAATTGCAGGCGTCACGTATCCATATCTCCATCTATCTAAGACTCTCTCACTCGAAAGTTTGATGAACGGCCCGGTAAGGGAAGCGCTCGGTATCGAAGCCACTCACGGCGATCAGGCCGGCAATGTTTTCGCATTTTTGAGGGGAGATTTTATGAAGCCAGTTATTGACACAGGTATTAGTCAGGTGTATCGAAAGAACGTCATTGCGGCGAAAGCGAAAAGATAAAATCGGTGTGGATTGGTGTGGAGCCACCGCTGTTAGATATTACAGCTCCACACCAGTCATTTCCAAGCAATGCAAAGCTTGTTCCGTTAAAAAAATTGTTGAACTGTTTTCGACGAGTACATAAATTCGTGAAATAAGAAGCATATCTAGCATACACGGGGAGAATTTTCTCTTCTATACCAAGTACGATTACTAATAAAATGTATGGTAAAATTTCGAAAAACTCTCATACAATTCTTTGAAATATCATGTCCCGCGATTACATGATATTCAGGATAAATTTTAAGAAAATATTCTCTCCTCGTATAAACTGATTGCTATGAATATGAAATACATTCTCTTTATTATAATATAATCTAGTTACTAATAAGTGTAAATCTTGTTTAGTGGAAAGATTACTTAACGAAACCAACTTGCACGTATTCGTATACACTGGCCACTTGGATTTAATTGTTGATACACCGGGTAAGTTACCTTTTTTCCTCGGATCTGCTGTTACGAAATTTACACTTAACAATAAGATCTTTCTTTCTGCTCAAATATCTTAATAGCACGGTATATTCTTTTTCATTTACATTTTAATAACATTTTAACCTTTTAAAAGTTACCTAAGCTTTAATCTGATTAAAGAGTTGTGACTTATTTCATTTTATCAGAAACAAATCTCTGCGTATTAAAAACTTATTGATATTCCGCGTTTATTTTTTCGTGGAATCATCAGCTTCCCGATAATACGCTATTCAGTTCGTATTACACGCTATGATTTATTACACTGTTCTTTTGCTATTCCCAGACTGTTCTCTGCTGCAGTAAGTCCTTATTATACGTCATATATTTCAGGCACTCTTCTCTGGGTCGAGAAACTGAAGTGGAAAAACGCCGACACCTGGAAAAACTCCGTTAGAAGTCCGCTCGTCGCTAAAGACATCGTCGAGGGCTATTTCAAGGCGCACGATAACTTCGGGATGTATTGGGTCAACAGAGCCGGACATATGGTACGCACATACAAGGCACTTTCTCTCTTCCCTCGTAGCTTTCGTATTTATTATAAGCCGCGAGCGGTAGGCCCGGGATTAATTTGCTACAAGGAGAATCCTAAATCGGCGCGCAACATGCGATCTTCATCCGTCTTCGACTCGTCGCGCCGTCCGATTCTGCGTTTGCTCCCGTAACTCGTGCAGATAAGATTTCGTCACAGCGGCAGGTGTTTTTGGTGTTACGTCCGTCGTGATTGTAATGCGGCGTACATGAAGTAGGTGTCGTTAATTGATCGTGAAAATCGCGAGGCTCTCTTCAGCGTGCGTCGCATGCAAATGCTATAGTTGAAAAAAAATCGAAAATATAAAGTTAACAAGTGACTGGACTATTGAAATTAAAAGTAGGCTGTGAGAGTCAAGCGGCCTAAATCCGTTTTATTTGTACGGTTAAAATATCGCAACCATAATATTCACCGTCTAGAATGTCGTTAACAATAATTACTAACACTTGCTTTTTCTCGTGTTTCATTCAAAATCATTTTAAATTATGTCTATTGGTCGATACATTCACTGAAGAGAAAAATTTCGCTACCATAGCTAATCATGGTTTGCTTGAAATATTTTGCTACCATAACTATAAATTTCTAAACTACAGCAAACCGGTTTGCTATCGCATCTAACACGATAGGCACAGTAGCAAAATATTTAGCTATCACAACTAAATATTAGCTGTCCAAATTTTACAACTGAAATTTAGTTGCCACAAGCAGTTTTTAGCTACGGCAACTATACATTTTTCTTTCCGTGTTCCCAAATACACTTTATACTTTTTTTATTTAAATATAACCCTTACAGAAATGTAACAATTGGGAACGAAAAAAAGCACTAAACAATTACTAGAGTTCAGTAATTGAATGATTATAAATTACTGATGCACGATAATATGCTAGTAATTAATTCGCTTACATTTCTGTAAGGGTAATGTCTCGCCTAGCAAGCTGACGTCACCTATCATCACTTTGACACAAAAATGCCGTCCTTAACGACATTTCGACGTCTCAAAGTAACGATCAATAACGTTGGCTTGCCTCCTAAATAATGGCATCCGTTTAAATAAGTTGATATGCGCAGGTACCGAAGGACAATCCGGCGGCGCAGAGGATAATACTACAGGATTTGACGAGCAACGCAGACAAGTGAACGAAATAGAAATCTGACGCCTTCATTTTGTACTGAAACAATATGTAAATCTTTATACGACTCTATTCGAAATAGTCTCTCTATAAAATGTTTAAGAAAGAGAAGAAATTAATATACCATCCATTCATCCAACATTTATCCGTTTATCCAAAACCGATTCCGATCGCATCGTCACAATCGCACGTCAAGTTAAAAATATCATCAACGTTTTACATTTCAACACAGCCATAGTCGGGTTCCTGTCCGATTCGCATATATTAACTTATCTATCAAAGCGACCCAAGAGACAAGGATTCAAGAGAGGAATGTACTCGTATTCGTTACTAAATAACGTTTAATCGTGGATCGAAAAATCTTGTTAGAAAGTAACCGTTGGCGTGTGACTTCTGATCTTTTTCCTCCTTTTTCTTCTCTGAACGCTACGCGCGCGCCTTTTGCGCTCGATCGTGAGGGAGGACCGGCTAGGAGGAAGAGACCGTTCCGAGAAACCGTTCGGCCTCGATATAATTATCGCTACACTGTTTATATATTGGCGCGGTTACTGCCGGCGTGGGTGTTGAAACAGCATATGTGTAAACAGCAATAAAACACGTAGTGCGGTCCCGGATAGGTAATCTCCTCCCCACGAGAGCGTAAACGAGAGTTCCCTGGAAAACCACCGATGGGCGGGGTTGGGCCAGCCTCTAGATTCCCCCGGTGTCAAATTAAACAAATCTCCATCGTTAGGGCAACTGGATGCGACCCGCAGCGGCCGGAGTCCCGGTCGAGTCCGCGCCCTGCTCGACACAGGGTTTGCCTCGTCCTGGCCCTCGATGATTACAACAGTGCGACTCCGTTTCCCGCGGGAATACACGGTAGAATTGGACGGTGGCCTCTTAGTTTTCGTCGCGAGAGAGGAAGAGGCGGCGGGAAGCGTGATGTAAACGACTTGAATTTTTCGCTGGACGCGCCGCGACGGAACATCCCGGCGGAATCTCAGCGCGACATCGGAGGGTCTTCCGAGGACTCGTAGCTTTTACGCAAACGTCGCTTCTCGTGTTTTTCGCACCGGACTGGTTCGAGGGGGATTCCCGATGCAGCCGAGTAGTTGTCCCCAGGTTCACGGTTTTCTCGCGGAAGACCAATCGTGCGGTCTAAGTGCCCGATGTCAGGAGTACTGGTGCATCTTCCCGATAGACAAGACACCGCCTGCGAAACGCGCGTACGGACTCGCCAGCCTGGTCCCGGAGATGCTGCGTGCCGACGTCGCGTGGCCGGCCTTCTGCCAGGCGTCGTTAACGTCCTGGCCGGCTCTGGCGAGGCCGCCGGTCGGTTACAAGACCGCCGTGCCGCATCACGAGAAGCCGCCGTATTCCTACATCGCCCTGATCGCGATGGCGATCGACTCGTCGCCGAAGCGACGGCTGACGCTCGCTGGGATCTACAAGTTCATCATGGACAGATTTCCTTACTACCGGGAGAACCGGCAGGGCTGGCAGAACAGCATACGGCACAATCTCAGCCTGAACGACTGCTTCGTGAAGGTGCCGCGGGACCGGACGTGCGCGGAGGACGGCGAGGACCACACGGCCGGGAAGGGCAGCTACTGGACCCTGGACCCGTCCGCCAGCGAGATGTTCGAGCACGGCAATTACAGACGCAGAAGAACGAGACGGCGGCGGGTGCTCGTTCAGGGGAGACCGGAGCTCGCGGGATTGCCGGTACGGGGAGGCTTTGACCCTCCGCGGAGGAGGGCCCTCTTGGCTTTTCCGATTGTTCTCTTGGTTCCTTGAGACGCGACGGTGTCGTGTATACCCTCACCCAAGTGGCACATATACGTTTCAAAAACGTTTTAGAAGCGTTTATCCGAAACGTTTTATAACCGACTTTTAGAAACGTTTCTCATGAGTTAAAATGTCCATTCAAAAAAACGTTTCTTTTCCGATAAAATAACATTTAAGAAACCATTAAAGAAACGTTTTTTAAAGCTAAAGAGAAAATTTTTAATTCCTACTTCTTTAGAATTTCTGTTGCAAACGTCTTTTCGTCATGTTTATAACGCTTTTGAGACATACCCCAGTAGCACGTTTCATATATGATTCCTAAACGTATTTAATGTTTAGTAAACGTTTATGAAACGTATAAAAATCAACACGTGCTACGCAAAATAAATATTTTATAAATAGGTTGAAATTTTAATTTTAATAGTTTTTCGATAATGTTAAAGAAGGAAGCACAAAAAATTTTCTTCCATGTGAAATCTAGGAAAAGAAGAAGCCTGAAGTGTAAAATACGCCCGCATGCGCATATTGGAAGATTAACTGTAGAAACGTAAAGAATACGTTTCTTAAATCATGGTTTCAAAAACGTTTCCGTTCAAACGATTCTCAATGGTTCTTTACGGTTATGAAACTATATATAAAGGGTGGGCCATCTGTTACTTTTTTTTAAACATTAAATAAAACGCACAATTTATGAGGGAAACTAAAAAATTTTTATTGATTATGAAAGGTGGTTCTATGCCATTTATGTATGAAAAATAATATCGTTCAAATGTCCACAATGGCTCTTTTTACAGGCCTGCATTCGAACATCAAAATGTTTGATAACTCTTTGCAATAAAAGTGGATCTATGACCTCAATTTCAGCTCGAATGTTGTTCTGAAGGTCTTGAATTGTGCGTGGAGCATTGGTGTACACTTTTCCTTTCAAGTAGCCCCAAAGAAAATAATCTAATGGCGTCAATCGCATCTTGGTGGCCAAAATGAGGACATTTGAACGATATTATTTTTCATACATAAATAGCATAGAACCACCTTTCATAATCAATAAAAATTTTTAAGTTTCCCTCATAAATTGTGCGTTTTATTTAATGTTTAAAAAAGTAACAGATGGCCCACCCTTTATGTTTAAAAACGTACAGTAGAACCTCTTTTATCCGAGGTAATGTGGGGAGGGGGTACCTCGGACAAGCGAAAACTCGGATAACACGGAAGAAACACAAAATTCGAAAACTTTTATTATTTTTTATATATTTAAAATGCTACAATGGAATTTAACCCCATGAACATATAAAAGTAAAAATTTAACGAACGTAGATTAAAATTTATGCTTGTTTAAGCAAAAAGTATGTTGCAATCGCAAACTACTCCGCGCATACAGCATAGCGGCGTCATCCGTTTTATCTGAGTTTTTCCGTATTATCCGAGCGCACACCTCGATTAACGCGGAGTGCTCGGATAAGTCCGGTGGCTCGGATAACGCGAAATCTCGGTTGATCGAAGGCCGTATAACCGAGGTTCTACTGTATATGAAACCAATATGTGCTACCTGAGGGGGGGGGGGCAACGTCTCAAGCCGGGGGTCAATTCTGTATCTCATACTATAGTGAAAATGCTAAAGCGAATAGCTTTGTCTCCTAACCAGCCCCTTAGAAAGTGTCAGATCTCTGAAGAATCTGATGATTTTAGAATTGGATATAATTAGATATTACATGATTGAGACATATACAGGGTGTTATGTAATACCCGCCTGACCTCTTATTTACGGATAGAGCGGATTAGACTGGGCCGAAAAGTCCTCTACCATTTTGCAATTTTTGCGATAGTTAACGAGTTATTAATTATTAAAAATCGCTGTCTTAGCCCGGCCTACCGCCCAATTCAAGGTCGCAGTGAGATGCGGCCGTTCCGCGATTGGCGTTGCTAGGCGCGCGGGGAGTTGCTTATTATGCGTACCCTTTGCTGTGTGTCATGCCGGGCAAAGACAGCGATTTTTAATAATTAATAACTCGTTAACTATTCCGAAAATTGCAAAATGGTAGAGGACTTTTCGACTCAGTCTAATCTGCTCTATCCGTAAATAAGAGGTGAGGCGAGTATTAACATAACACCCTGTATAATGAGATATTTCTATTTTTTCCCGGGTTCTGATAACACCACTGAAACGGCGGCTTTGATTGCAGGTATCGACCGAAATTTTATCCAATTCAACGAGACATCGAGAGGCGCAACGTAAGGTTGTTGAAACGAATGTCGTGGCGAAAGATGCCGAAAACGAGTGTACAGATTCCCCAGGACGTATCGCCAAAATGACCATATTCAGCATCGACAACATCTTACGGAAGTCCACGCGAGAGTCGCAGATATAGTTTTAATCCCTCCCGTCGAAGCCTCGGTGACATCGACGTAGCGACAGCCTAGGCATTGATGTACATTTACAAAAAAATTATAAATTGTTCAATTTCAATCATATAAATTTTTATTTATCGCAGATTATCATTGAAATAAATATAATGCAAATGCGATAAATTTTTTTCTATTTTCTATATCTCTATTGTATAGTTAATTAACTTATACGTTATTTTACTACTTCAGATTGGATTATTTGAAATAGAAAAATATTACATTCACGTTGTTTAAATTTATAAGCTAAAATATAAACATTTTATGTTACGACTACATAACACAATTCTTACGATAATATTTGATTTGTTTCACCGTGCATTATACTTAATTTCTCTTCTTTTTTCTCTCTTCTAATATTCAGTATTAATTCTTGTTCTTAACATGTTCTTTACTGCACGCAGACCTGTAATCCTTGATTTGTTTTACGGATTTTTTAACAAACTGGACCAATAAAAACAGGGTATATGTGTATGTACCTTAAGTGTCGATACGTGCGCGGGTCATATCACATTTGTTTTAGGTATCATGGAATAAACGCGTTGTGTTTCGATTTTAGTCTGCGTCAAAGTCTTTATGTTGTCTACACAGTGATTCGAATCTGCAATTTCTGAATTTTAAGTCAATTTCTTAAATAATTCTTGTTCTAAAATGATAGTTCTACAATCCTTACAGTTTAAAATGGCATCAAACAATAAAGAAATGAAGCAAAAGCAAGTATGTTTGAGGTTGGCACAGAAATTAGAGCTAATCAAGAAATTGGAACAAGGCATCTCAGTCACGGATGTTTGTGAAATTTATGGCATTCACAGAAGGACTGTCTCGAATATCAGGAAATCAAGCCCATATTACAAAAGTTTGTTTTAACACACAATATTAATACCTCTACATTACATGCTTCTACAATAGGGAATAAATGAAATTTGGGCCAAATAAAAATTTAGATAAAGCTCTGTATAAGTGGTATAGTCAACAGAGATCCAGTGGTATTACTGTTCGAAGTCCCCAGTTGAGATCGGAGTTTTTAATGCTCTTGTAACACGTATGGGACTCACAAGGGGAACCCGGCAGTCTGTAGTCACCGATTTTAATCTAGTTTTGTGGGTGTGTTGTACTCACCCAAACTTATTTTCTGCTAAAGCCGTAGGGCGCACTATTCAGGCATTCTCGAGGAAATAACAATAAACTTTTTTCAGCACCATTAATACCCATACGGAAGAGCTACTGCCAAAGCAACGGCGTAGCAGCGCTGGTTAGAGCGTTGTCTGTCGTGTACGAGGTGACGGGTTCGAGTCCCGATGGGCGCTTTTTTTTACATTTAAATTTTATATTTTTAAATTGATATGTACAATTTTTAAACATTTTGTAAAGAAGTTTTCATTTTAATTATATTCGTCTCGTCTGCGTTTAATTTAATGCGTGTATGTGTTAATAGATATACATATACATACAATGAATACACACATGACATACTATTTATATAAAATGCGTTTATTTTACAAAATATTCACCATGTCGACGATCCGATTATACAGGGTGAGTCTTTCCATATCCGACAAAATTTTTGAGAAGATAGAACGGATCGAGGTGAATGGAAAAGTCCTGTACCATTTTGCAATTTTCGTAATAGTTAACGAGTAATTAATTATTAAAAATCGTTGTCTTAGGCCGGCCTACCGCCCAATTCGAGCGCGTGGCGAGATGTGCGCATAGCAATATCGATCGCCGGGCGGTCACATCTTGCCACGCGCTCAAATTGGGCGGTAGGCCGGCCTAAGACAACGATT